TTAAAAGGTATGAAGTTTAGACGCTGATTCTGAAGAAAAAGGAGGAGAGGAAGAGGGGGAAGCCATTGCTCTCAATTGGCATAAAGCTACTAGCTTAGCTAGCTTCTAAGCTAACAGACCTAAAGTAGCAAGTTAAATTTGGTAATTAGCAAGAACATCTGCAACACAGGTACTTACAGCTTATGTTGTCAATCAAAAAATTCAGATAAACCTAGAAAATAGTGAGTTTAATTCCTAAACAATCTGGCAGCAAGTACAGAAGAAAGTATGCTGAAGTAGAATTTCCCTTTTTACAGGAAGTGAGTACGGTTACTGCAGGAGCAAGAAACAGCAGTCTGTCGAAGTTTAGAAAACTTCTGAATAGAAGCATGGATAATAAAAACCAGATAACATAGCTTCTCAGCATCCACACAATTAAGCTCAACAGCATTGTGGGTCTTTGTCAGCCTGGCTACAGTGCTGAGTTCCTTTATCAGTGATGAATAATATGCAGTTTATGGCACTACGAAGGGCCTTTTTATAGGTTATTAAACTATCTTTCCAGGCTATGAAGAACTCTTCTGACTTAGTGGAGCACCACCTCCTTTCCAGATTTCGTGATGCCTGTTTTAGGGATCAGAGCTGTGAGGTCCAAAGAGTCATTAAAACAGCAGAAAAGATCATGGGACATGAGATGTGAAGTGTTGTGGGCAGTGGAAATTAACCAGAGGCCTTGAACCTCCTTGCAGGACTCGGAAACAGAAACACTATCCAGCCTTGTGATCTCCAGACCTCTGAATTGTATTACTAAAGGTTTCTGGAACGATCTCTAAGGTGTTGGACCCTTAACCTTAACAGTGATCCTTTGCAGTGAGTGGAACTCATGGCTTAAGAAAACTAAGATATATGAGTGTTGCGAAATGAAGATATATGAGTGTTACGTTTTTGTTCTTGTCCAGCCTCATTTTAATTTTTCCACCATCAGTTCTTATCCAGTTCAGTGTTTGTCTTCATTATTGTAGGGGTAAAGTTAGGGTGGCTTCCCTCCACTGTGTTGGCAAACGGCACTGAAGTAGATAAAGATGGAATTATTTTCTTAAATTTGGTAACAGCATTGTCAGATAGACATCTACTGTAGTGGAATTGTTTCCTATATAGTGTATAATTCATTAATGTAAATTTGAAAGTTATTAGAAAATGGTCAGACAGAAGAGGGTTATGGGGAAAAAACTATTAAGTGTTCAGTTTCGATGCCATATGTCAGAACAAGATCAAGAGTGTGATGATTAAAACAGTGAGTGGGTTTATTTACAGTTTGAGAGAAGCCAACTAGTCTAATAATGAATTGAATGCACTGTTGAAGCTGTCATTGTCGGCATCTACATGAATATTAAAGTCGCCTATTATGATTAGTTTATCTGTACTAAACACTAAATCAGACAAAATCTGAGAATTCAGTTAAAAACTGAATAAAGCACAGGTGGGCAGTAAACAATAAGAAATAGAATTAGCTTTACTGACTTAATATTAACTTTAGTGATTTCACACTGGCGAAGTTGGGAGTCATTAGCGCTAACAAAAATAACAGTCTTAAAGTATTTACACTTATCTTTAGTCAGCAGCTTCAAATCGAAGTTATTTTTTCTCATCATCTCTTTCTCTGTGTATTGTACAACCATGGGGTATTTCTGTTAAGCAAACAGAACTTAATCTGAGGCCTCTGTGGAGACAGGACACACTGCTGCTTTTGTAGCATAGTTTTTTAAGCACAGTGCACCTTCATTCATCTTTTTCCTGTCTGTTCTTCAAGGAACTTGCCTTCTAGAATTTTGATGTTGAGTGTTCTGCCTTATTTAACATACAAGTAGCACTACTTTTCTCATAGGTTGTTCTTGTTTGAGCTAAGCCATCCTTGGCCATAGAGCACTGCCTTTTACTGTTTTAAAAAATTCTAATAGGCCACTTCTGCTGTTTGCCAGGAGTCTGACCAAGGGGACTATGCAAAAAACAGGGTAATGATTTTAAAATACATTACTGTGTCATGGACAGGCACTTGGAAATTGTCCTCAACTGTAAATTAAAGCATTTCAAACTTGCATTTGCTCACTGAACAGTGGAGAAATTCCACAGTAACTAAGTAAGTCGAGGTGGTGGAGCAACAACTACCTAAACAGATGTCACGAGGACTGTGGTATGTTGGAGCATTGAAGACACTGGCAACCTCTCATTTATTTCATCTGTTTTCTTACAAAGACAGATGAAGTAACCGGAGTAGCCTGTGTGGGCATTCGTTTTGAGCTACGACTTTTGCGAACTGTTACCCATCTTTTTACAGGCTTCTACTTTAGAAGAACAGTCAGAGGACTCAGAGTACAGGGTGGAGTTGCTGGGCCTTCATGAACAGTAGAGAGTAATTACTCAAAGATGACATGGCTATGTGAAATTTAACAGATGAAGAAGGAACATTTTCAGGAATTGTGGGAAAGTCTTAAATTTGATGCCATACAACACACTGACAACAGTTTAATGCAGCACCACTTAACACTGGAATCTGCTTTTTGTATTAGCACCATTCCAGTGTTGTTCCGGTTTTTATTTAAAGGTGGGTTTTAATCTAAATGTATCCAAATTTCAAGAAAATCTGTAATGAAAATTAATGTGCATTTGCATTCACCACGATTGTGTAGGGAGCAGGAGGTGGTTTGTTGAGATAAATAGCTAGTGGTGCTCTTTTTCCAGTTACAACATTGACGAAGAAAGAAGAGAAAACATGATTTAAATATGGCATTTAGGTTTGTTTCATTTATTCATTTGAGGAGCATTACACTCTCCTCATCACTCCACACAGATCTGTTTTGGTCTGCCACTATTTTCTGTCCCTTCAGCCGACATTTGAGTACGCTCATGTGCATCATTGATTAAATTCTGTTTCCTATGTTGCTCTTCGCTTTTATCAGTACTGCAACTCTTCCAGCTCAGCCAATTGTAAAAATGTTTTTTGCAGTATTTCAAGGCGTTTTGAATTTCTGGCATTTGCAGATTTTATGCCCAGATTGAAAGTGAACCTAAAAGCTAATGGATGGAAGCCCATCCTTCTGTCCCTGGCCTTATCACTACTCTTGAGCAAGTTCCTGCACCTGTCCAGGTAATTGCAGACCTCTTGTATGGCTTGCTGTTTTTGCCACTATTTGTATAATGTCATATTATAGATATCCTGGCATTGAGGGGTCCTAAAGTCACAGCTTTTGCACTTTATAGCTGAGCTTAGCAACCATCTGCCTTATTCAGGTCTTCACCAGATTACCTCTGTAACATACCTAATGCATCTTGTTTTATAGCTAAGTAATGTCAGCTTTACATGGGGATTTGGATCTCTAACCTGACCTCGAAACATGGCTACTCTGTTGGCCAAAGCACAGTCCTAACAGACTACGAGTTTTTTGCTGTCGAGCTGAAATGACAACCTAAGAGCAATAGTTGAACTGGAATTTTGATGTGCAGAGAGGGGCACACTTATGCAAAGATGTTTAACTCATAGTATTGTCTTATATTGATAGAAAGTTATAAAACTGCATTTGAAATCCTTAGATTAGTTTCTGTATATTGTTTTGTGAATGACACCATGTTTTGGGTTTCTGGACCTTCTGGTGGTTTTAAAAGGCAGCTGATAGCTTGAATTCCTCAATGTGTTGCATGTTTTTTGTGCTGATCGCATTACAAAATCTTCAGCAGTGATGTCATTAGGACAGATCCCATTCTGTGATTTTCTCACCTCATAACATTCACCTGACTTCACCTAGCATTTACAGTATTCACAGTACTGCAGAATGCTGTCTAGCTAACAAACATGGTTTGTACAGTTAGTAGGGAAAATTATGTTCAACAATCCTAAAATTGACATTTTAATTGCATACACATCTGTAGCTGGTCAGTGTGATAGCAAACTGCTTTTCTTGTCATTTTCTGTCCTACTGAATGATGTAGAAAATTGTCCTTGCTTCGTGTGTGTGTGTGTGTGTGTGTGTGTGTGTGTGTGTGTGTAAGCTCCCACGTGTGGATTTTGGCCCTACAGACACTGAGCTGCCCCAGGGGTTTCTCTGTCGCTCTCTCCCTAGCCAGAAGGCCTTTTGTTCCACCATTGTACTGGAATGCTTCCTGGGACATCCAGCTGGATCTCCAGGCCTGGAGCCCAGCTATCCATCAGACCATGGCTCCTGTTCCCCATGCTCCATGCTGTGATGAGGAGAGACTCAGGAGTGGCTGTCGTCCCTGTCTGTTCTCTGATGGAACCTGACAGCAGCCTGTAGACTGTCAACACATTCCTGCACAGCTGCTCTTAAATCACCTATGGCATGATTGTAGTGACTTTTGTGTGTCCGTGTGTGTAGCATGAAGCACTAGTGATTGATGTGTGCGTGTAGGCACAAGCATGTGGCTGTTTCCCATATCAGATTTTGAATAATGAAGTGTTTTTGTGTGTGCAAAAATCAGTAAATATTACAGTAACAACACGCAAGGCGGGCCTACTTTCCATTTTAGTAACTCCCCAGAGATACAAGTTTGTCTTTCAACACTGTGCAGTTGTGTTGAGGCTGATAAAGAATTGTTTAATGAATGTAACAAGACTGTTGAAATGATTTGGAATTCTCACTAGGCCACTAGGGCATATCATATGCATCGTCCAAAGCTGGATTGTTTATACAGGGGCTAAGCTAAGTGCAGGACTCAGAAGCACTCTGTTGGGATCCAGGAGTCTTGTGAAAGATCTGTGTGTTTTTTGTGTCTGAAAGTGTGATTATGTCGTTCTGATTTTAGTGTATCAGTGGCGTAAATGGAGACTATATGTTGTCATATATGTGTACTTTTAGCTGTGTACATCGGTTTTTGCGTGCTCCCTGATTGTACTCTCTGTGCACATGTGTGCAGTGGCTCACCGAGTCCTCTCTGTGGGCTCTGAGGCCTAATGCTGACCTTTTCCTTTTTTCTTTTTTGCTTACTAATGAACACATCTGTCCTTTCAGATCCATGAACGACTGCAGCACTATGAAGAGAGCAAACCCATCCCCATCCTGGACAGTGCTGTGGCTCTGGCCTATGGAGTAAGTTTTTCTTTTCTTTTTGAAAGGAAGCCTTACGTGATTGCAACTACTTATGAGTAGCAAATGAAATGAAAAGCAACATTGTGTTGTAGTAACATGTCGGGCTGCTGTGTGCCGCTAAAATCATGTCAATGCTTCTTGACAGAGATTCTGTGAGATTCATGGAGTTTGTGGAAGTCTGTGGATCTCTGTTGGAAGGATTAAACTTCATACTTCCAAAAGATATTCTTGATGTTGATGATGCTGGAGGGTCCTGTCAAATATCATGATTACAGCCTCCTATAAATAAATCCTGGGATTGATTTAGGTGTCACACTCTCATGCATGCTGCCATTACTATTGGTGGCAGAGAGAAACATTTACAGTGACAGTGAAAGTAGATTTTTTGGTAAACTCCACTTGGCCCTTTTGATAGATGAAACTGAATAGAAATGATTGTGTCTCATAGAGTAGTCTGAGGCTGGTTATGACAGAGGTGTTTATTAATTTATGTACTGCTTCTGTCTGACCTCCTCTGGAGACGAAAGTGCTGTGGAGCAGCTTATTAAAATGATCAAACTCCATGTTTTCTTGCATTGCAATCAGGAGCAAGACACCATTTTATTAAAATGGGAAACATTTTGGCCATGAAATGTAGTAAATTACTGACCCAGCAAGGGATATGTTGGCTGGCAGCTCATCAATTGTTTGATATAACAAGATTGTTTGGTCATTAGCTGTCCTTTGTTTGCATTTGTTGATATACTCATAATGCCACTGGAAAAAATTGAGATTAAGCTAAATAAAATTGATTTTATAGAGCAGAGGAGTATGGATTTTACTGTTTCTGAAGTCTCACTTTGTTGTTGAGTATCTCATAAAAGAACAAGAAAGACATCTAGCTATCTGTTAAAACTGGGTGAAATTTTGTTTAAAGGTTTTTTTTAATTGTTATTATTACTATTTTATTGTTAGATTAAGCTTTTATTTTGACTATACTTTCAAAATGTACCCAATTTTACATGATCCTCTGGACAAACTTCTTGGTAAATGTGCCTGGAAAATGAAGTCCTTTGCATATAGCTGTATTCAGATTTACAAGAGCACTTCCACTGCAATAGTAGCAACTTGTCTGTTTCCACCAAATTCATTAGAAAGTGGCTATGAAGGCTATGACTGTGATTCACTTCATGCTCAAATTAGTTTATTTGTACAGCAAACATAGTTTGCTTTTACTTAAATACAGAGAGACTTGGTGTAAGATGCAAGGAAAAGATGCAAGTGAGAGAAAAAACAGTCTATAAGAGACTTGGGAAGTAGCCAGACATGAACTCAGCATCACTATCTGAATCCAGAGATTGTTTATGAGGTAAAAGAGGAATCACTCTGTAGCAACTCTGTAGTTGTGTAAGAGTCAAAACCATCACTTTCAGCAGTCAGATTTTCCCAGGTAAAACTTTAATTCAAGACGTGAAAATAGTCAGGAGAGAAAACAGCTATGATAATATTTCTGTCAAAGATTTGCTGAAGCGTGAACCTGGGGTTTGTAGAATAATGAAGAATTCCAACACAAAACTTGTGTTACTGTTGTCATTACTGTGACTGTTGTTTAGTGTTAAATTATTGTAAATGGATTGGGTTTTTGTTTATGTGACGTTGTTATGCAAGTTTGTATTATTGTTTTGTATTTATTGATATTTATATTTTTAAGTTGTTAATATATTATTCAGTTTGAAGTTTAAATTTCCCTTAGAAATAAATAAAAAACACAGTTTCAAAAGTGCAGTGCTCCCCCACTGGTTGACCTGTTAATGAGAAGTCATCACACAGATCATTCAGCCAACTGGACAACTGCTGATAATTTTCCTCCATGGCTCTGCTGCTCTCCTCAAGCTGTGAAAGACATTTAGTGATTCACTGAAATACATCTGCCATGGTATTGCTCATTTGTAATATTTATTTTGAGTCATATACTGTATGCACATACAGTATATAGTGACCCGATCACATTCACTTGTGCACGAAACACAAACACACACCTGTGTAAACCCAAGAAACAGCCTGGCACGGTGGATTGAGAGGAGGAGAAACCTTTTTACTAGTGTGTGGTTTAGTTTGAAAGCTCTGTATATTGTAATCAAAGCCTCTCTGGCTATTCCACCCCTTCTAAAGAGCCTGCAGCCATACATCATCCAAATTAGTACTGAGCCAAGAGAAAGACTAGAGAAAGAGTAGCTGAATTTCAAAAAAGTCAGTTGGGTAAAGAGAGAGGAATCAAGTACAGAGTGTCCTGAGAGTGTCTGGAAAGACAGGGCAAAGGTTTTCCTGACCTTACAGGCCACAAGTGTCAGCGCAGGAGCCAGATCGCACACCAATACAGATGACTGGACTTCCAAAACACCCAGGACCCTTAAAGGAACCTGGGTGGCTGAGCCTGAACCTGTAGGAACAGTCTTCTCAACAATAAATTGTATTTCTCTTTTTCTTTCCATTTGTCCTACCCTGCTGTTGCTCTGCCAAAGTACACTACTAACCAGATAACACCAGAACAAGAACTTCACTACATTAAAGCAGCCAAGAAAGTGTGAAAGATTGCTTTTGTTTCTCTTTCCTTGGTCTTTGTACTGCCTTTCCAGGTTGTGGCAATTGTCCAAGAGACCCCCAACACTCAGCCTTTATCTTCCTGGTATGCCCATCAAAGCATCTCCCTGGGATTATCAGGTATCAGGATAAAGCCTAGAGATGGTGTATCAAAGTGTCTCATAGCACACCGCAGTCCTGTGTACTCTTTCCTTGGCCTGTCAAAAAACAGAAAAAACCCCAACCAGGAATGTTGAAGTGTATTAAAGCAGATTTGTTTTTCACTCGTGTCACTGTCACTGTGTCAGTGGTGGCTGATAGGTGAAGTGCAATGGGAGCTATATACAATGAGATGAAAGTCATTTTGGGCTTGGGTTTCAGCTTATGGAGGCTTAATTGATTGCTCACCATAAAATGAAACTTCAGGCCCAGGCTGCACTGCTTAACACAGCAGGTGACTGCTCAAGCAAATTTAGCACCACCAAAACACTCATAAGATGATTAGTACTAGGCCCATGGAACATGTGCTGTATTACTGTATACAGTATAAAGACGTCAGTGGGAGACTCCATGAATGTACATACACATTGATTACTGCCCAACATACACATTCATTACTGCCCACACAGTCTCTTTTCATTTCTCATTAGGACTGAAAGAGAAGCACTGCTGCCTTATTGTGGAACATGAAATACCACATTACAAAAGGGCAAATCAGCCTCAAAATATGAACCAGTTCTGTGAAAGTTCCAGGTTGCTGATCCAGTCAGTCTGTCAGTGGTATTGAAGGCTAAGGCCATCACATCAACAGTGAGCTGAATGTCAGCCCCTTTTTTCTAGGTCAGTGTCATCTGAACTAAGACTGTATGTCCTGGTGGCTCACTCAGTCCTCAGTCCCTCAGGCCAGCTTCCCAACACCTTTATATTCACCCAAAGACCCGCTGTTACTTGGGAAGACCACTGGGTGCCATCAGAGAGCCGGCAATCTGGTCTGCAGTCCATATAGAGAACTGGTAATGGGACAGAGGCACAGAGAGAGAATGACAAATGGCCTTATCATTGTCAGGTTGTACTACTGTACAGCAAATTAGGACTCCAGGATACTCAAGTATCTTAAAAATGTAAATGAAACTCAAACCAAGCACCATCAGAATATGACACTGTTACTGTCAAATAGAGATTTAATCTAAGAGTTTGAGATGTAAAGGTTGGTCTTCAGTTTTGAATTTCAGAGCCAGTAATGATAAGGAAATTGTCTTTTTTGTCATGGATACTGATACAATGACTGGGAACAAAGTTCTTGGTTTTGGAAAATTATTGAGTTACTTAGTCTCATAGCATTTTATTATTATTATTATTAATTATGTAGTTTTTGCCATCCCTGGTAGGCTAGTGGTTAAGGCGCAGCGCTCTCACCGCTGCGGCCCGAGTTCGAATCAGGGTTGTGTCAGGAAGGGCATCCAGCGTAAAACACGTGCCAAATGTCAACATGCGAATTGTCAGTGTGACGATTCACTGTGGCGACCCCTAAACGGGCAAAGCCGAAAGTGACTTTCTATTAATTATGTCAGTTTTATTTTTTTACGTACTATTTTAAACATGTCAGTATTTAGACTGTGAGCCCTTAAATCTGTGAGATCTTGAAACTTATACAACAGTCACGTCTGCACCAGGGTTAATATGACTGGCTGTTATCGACATTGAGTTTAGTTGAATAAAACCCTTCAGTGGCACTGACACTATGCTGTATATCAGGGACCAAGTGAGTCAAATACATGAGAGATGGTCCTATTTAATGGGGGTTTTTTTCCATCCAAAGTCAATGTTCATTTAAAAAAATCCTATTAATTCATCTGACAAGACAAAATGATGCAGCTCTTTTTCACCCTCCATGAATGGAGGTCCAAAATCTGAAACTGGGCTATACCCAAAAGCAGCAATCATGTAAAAAAAAAAAAGGAGGGACACAGAAACAGTATACATTACACAAGAGAAATAATATTAACTGTTAATAGTTTCTTAATTCAAACTACAATATTAATTTCCTTTGTATAATTTAAGAATATCATTTATATTGAATTTTGCATGTGCAGTTATGACTTATGCAGTTATGATCTCTCCCATGAATTCAGATGAGTTGGTTCTAAGCAGTTATCACACCATTTGGTATATAGGTAAGTCTATGCCTGACGATCCCATAAACTGGAGGAATGCTAGATCAGGAAAAAGAAACTCAGTACACAGCTGAAACAACTGGTAGAGCTCAACTACCAATGCTAAATACAGTGTATTTTGTAAAAACTGCCATGGTTGAACTTTGTACCTTATTAAAGTTAACATCATCTAATGACAAATCCAGCATCAAATGAAATGAGATTTTGGGGAGGCACCAAGCAGCTTATGAACCTAAGAGACATGTGACTGGGCCTTCACAATCTTCA